GAAATTGGCTAGCTTTGATTTTCTTTTTTTACTTTCTGCTGGAGAGTTAGTCGTAACAACTTGTTTTTGCTCATCACCAACTATCTTGATTCGGAACTGCTGCAGAATGCTTGGTCAGGTGGATACATTGCAGGAACAGGCATCGGAAACCAAGCTATATCCAACATAGGAGTAAAGAATATTTGTGAGACTGTGCATGGTGAAAAGTGACAAGAGCTAGAGTCTCGAGACACTTAGTCTCAAATCTGTCAGCTCTTCAAAGCAAATGTAAAGGCATGTGCATGTAAGTCCGCAGACCAGTTTGCTAGGGAATTGGCTTTCCTGTGTGCAAAGTTTCCGTTTCTCTCTTTGCTTCTGGAATTTGCCTTAGTTTATCACTCAAAACTTTCCGGTCTTAGTATTTGCGAATTGTCTCTTAAGTCTAATACAGTGGAACATATTTGGTCGAGAGAGGACATGTTCATGCACAAAGATACATATAGGCATATAGCTGCTAAAGTAATGGCTCCTCTAAAACTTCCACGTTTGAGATGAAATGACTTAACTTTTAGGATGTGGTTCACGGATTTAGATTACATTAGGTAAAATGGTTACCTCCTGGATGTAAGATAACATCATTGTTTGATTGAGAATGTAATATTAATCTCTCGCAAAGCTAATACATCAATACCTATTTTAATCAAAAAAAGGGAATCTATTAAAAGCAATCTTATCTTATTTAGGACCCGTTTGATAGCCTCTATTTTCAGCTTATTTGTCTTATCAATTACCTTTTTCACCAAACAATAAACTTTTAATTTCGCACGCTGAACTTGTAATAATGAGAATAAGTAAGTTATTTTTTTGATTAAATTGGTTGATTTTACTAAGGAGGACTATTTTATTTTTTTACATATGTTATTGATTATTAAACAATTCAACGCGCGAAATCAAAAGTTATAGAACTGATAAGTTGAAAATGGAGGTTGCCAAATAGGCTCTGATATCATTAAATTTGGGTTTGGGTTCTATTAATATGGGGGCCAGAGTTACCAATTGTGGTCCCAATGCTTTAATTTTTATTTCTAGTTTTAACTCTTTGGCCCCATTTTTATTTAATTCAAATTTCTAAAAATATAGCATACATTAATTTTTATTTTCCTTTTTGGTATATAGCAATGACACACCAAGTATATGCATGGAAAGTGAAGTGTTATTGTTACTCTAGCATTGTATATTTATATGCTACTCCTCAAAATACTTCTCTTACTTTCACAAAGAGAAATGAAAATAGAGAGTTCACAAGTTGTAACTATAAGCTTTCAAAAATGAAGTCGGAACATACATTTGTGAATTTATGGTTAATCTGTAACTTTTAATTAATGCATTGTAAATGAAGTTGGAACAATGACTTTAGAACTCCAAATTATCTTTCTAACGAGATATAATATGCTCTAAACGGAAGAACACGTAGCAAGATATGAGTGTCACAAATACTTAGGGGGGTGAATAAAGAAACCGAAAAATCGAAACCAATAGACAAACCAACCAAAACTGAACCGATCAAAACCGAAACCGACTAAAACCAATTAACCATTGGTGGTTCGATTTATGGTTACACGGTTTGAGTTAAAAAAATTGACCGCACCGAAACTGATCGATAAAAACCAATAAAAACATGCTAAATTGATTGAAATCGATAAAAGCGACTGAAATTAACCGAATCAAAACTGATTCAAGTAGTGTGGTTCGGTTTACGGTTTCACCTTTTCTAAAACCAAATTGATAAAACTGAACCAATAAAATCGAAACCGATGAAACCAAATTGAAGAACACCCCTAGTTTGTGATGAGAAACTACGGATGAGACTCTATTTACAAGACCAATTCAAATTGAAGAAAGCTTGGAGGAAACTTCATTCGAGATTTGCATATCACTTGGGATTGAATTATTCATGATTGAGATGAAAGTTAGAGAAATGAATGTTTTAAAATGTGACTTTTTCTTTGCTTGTGTTTTTTTGCTATTTTGACAAGTCCTAACCATATGAATTTCATTTGTATTAGTGCATTATCTTATGAATTTCAATTGGCACACAAGTCCCAACCATATGAATTTCAATTGGCACATTATCTTATCAATCATTCTTGGTATACACAATATTTGTACATATTTAGCACACTCTCCTGTTTACATGGACGATTGATGCCTTCTAAATGAGTTGTCTTTCTACAAAGATAACTAGGGGTGTACACATTTTGTGTATATTTTACACTCGTCCGTGTACATAAACAATTGTTGTTTTTTCTAAATGAGATGTCAGTATACACAGAAAAGTGTGCCAAATGTGTACAAATTATATATACAAATAGAATTTTTCTTATTTTATAGTTGCAAAAGCCCAATTGTTCTTAGTATTCAACTGAGGATTACCATCATGATCCAATCTAGCCACCCCATTGATGTGACAACGATTATTGTGCACACAAAAATGGGTGGAGTATTTTTCAGACCCTCCAAAGTCTGTAATGGTCACCGATTCCTTACTTGTTGTCTGATGACATCACAAATTCACAATTTTAGTTTTGAAAATTATTATACTTCCTTCGTTCAACACTTTCATTTTCATGTTTATCAACACACAACTTTGATCATTAATATATTTAATTTCCTTTTATAAAAAAATTTAAAAATCATTTTTTAAAAATATAAAATGGGAGGAAATTTATTATATTTTTTTAAAAATAAATTTTTAATGCATTAGTAAATAAATACAGTCAAAGTAAAGCATGTGAATAGTGTACAATTTCTAATGTTGCGATTATTTAAGAACGGAGGTAATATCTTTTATTTATGATCCAATCTTTATAAAAAAATATATCAAATTAAATATTTTTTACAATCTTTCAAATAGTACCAATATTGCATATAGAAATTGGAAAAACTATTTTTTAAATATCTATTTATATCCATTTTTAAGAATTTTAAATATGTCATAGGAAAAAGATTATTACAGATTTCAAATTGTGATATATTTTAAAAAAGAGCATACATGAAATAAATTAAAACGTTCCGGTCTTAGACCTAAACCCGTTCGATTCGGTTCCATTTTCAAACGGTCCGGTACCATGTCATACCAATGCTAAACAATGCCATTTTTCTGATAAATTAAAACTTAATCATCATCCAAAAATCCACACAATTATCAATTTTCATACTACCTCCGTCCTAAAAAACTTTTGAACCATGATTTTGATTAGTATAGTATTATGGAAGTTATAAATTTTATACTTTTATGAAAGTATTTTAAACAAAGAACATTTTCATATAATTTTTATATTATAAACAATTCTCAATAAAAAAATATAATTGGTCAAAGTTTTGAAAATGGATTTGTTTTGGGACAGAGGTAGTATTACATAGTTAATGAATTTCTTATAAACTATAATAGTACAAAACATAAATAACTAGCAATAACTATAATAACATAGTTAATGAATTTCATATGATACTCCGTATTATTCATTTTTACCGATCCGGTTAACTAGCAATTAGCAAAGTGCAAATGAGTAATCAAAGTAATGGCAATATGGTATACATGTATATATAATTATAAAATTATATAAATTAATAAAATTATAATTCGGTTCGGTCCGATCCAGTACCGGTTCTCATTTTATGAGAACCGGTCATGGCATGGTTTGGAATCAGTCCGGTCCGGTTCGGGACAAATTTTTTGAGAACCGTTTGAAATTTTGTTTTCCGGTCTGATACCATACCGGTCTGATCCGGTACCATGCCGGTTCGGTTATTTTGCCCACCCCTGTTGCAAGCTATTAAGGAGGGGGTAAAAAGCACCTTCATTTGAATGATGATAAATGAGATTGATCAAAAGATGTGTACTAATTTAGTAATTTACTGTATATCACGAACTGACCTTTACACAACTAAAGTCTTACTATAGAGAATCTAAAGTGGAATTGTGGAAAGCTTTTCATAGTCAAGATTACAATCGATTACTTTTAAATGACCGAAGTCTTACTAATAGAATATAGTGTTTACTTCGCTGCTAAAGTCACAGTTAGGTTAGTAAGACAGGTGAAATAAACACGCAAGTTACTTAAAACGCTGCTTATTAACCGAAACAGATGCTTAAGCGACACTTTAAGCTTTTTCAGTTTCCGAATTTACCCTTACCTTTACCCCTTGCCCTTACCCTATTGCTACCCAACTACCCCGCCCTACCCTACCTTACCCCGACCCCACCCACACCCTTGACCCGACTATACCCCACCCCTACCCCTACCCATGTACCCCTACCACATTCCCCTACCTTGACCCGACCCCGCCCCTACCCCAACCCCACCCTTGACCCGACCATACCCACCCCCACCTTACCCCTACCCTCCACCACCTGACCTACCCCACCCCACCCTCACCCTACCCCTTCCTCTACCTTGACCCGACCCCACCCCTACCCCCACCCTACCCCTTTACCCATACCCCTACCTCGACCCACCCCTACACCCACCCCCACCCTTGACCCGACCATATCCCACCCCACCTTACCCATATCCCCTACCCTCCACCACCCGCCCTACCCCCACCCTCACCCCTTACCCTACCCCTTTACCCTCTACCACCTTCCCCTACCTTGATCCTAACCCAACCCCTTACCCCTTTACCCCCTACCCCTACCTCGATCCACCTCTACCCCCACCCCCACCCTTGACCCCACACCCCCACCTGGGATGAGTTGGGGGGTTGGTATGGGTGGGAGTAGGGATGGAGGGTAAGGTCGTGGTAAGGGTAGGGGGTAGGGAAGGGGTGGGGGTCAAGAGTGTGGAACTGGGGGTAGGGTGGGGGTACAGGGCGGGGTAGGGGTTAGAGGTGTGGGTAAGCGACTAAGCGTACGAGGTGACCCCACATATTATATTATATACTTGTGTTCATGAATGTTGTGTGTGTATATATCTATAGGGTTATTTTGGACATTTTAATGTTAAACGGTGTTTTAAATCCTTTAAAGTAAATATGAGCTTACAACAATGCTTATTTTATGCGCCGTTTATTAACGTGAGTCTTAATAAGCACCGTTTACTAGCGTAAATATTACTACAAGAGTCAAAAAGTTTTTGAAAAAATGCTCCCTATATTACTACAAGAGTTTTCATTTAAAAAAATATGACAATTTTTTTCATTTTCCAAAAAAGTGAACAATTAAAAACAAATAGTATAATTCCCCTCATTCCGTCTTCCCTAGCGAAGAAAGTCGTCTCCATCTTCGGCTCCCAGCAAAGCATCCATCGAAAATCCAGTGGCAAAGCATCCATCAAGCGTACTCGGAACTCCACAACATCTCCATCACTTGTCCCTGCATCGATTCTTCGCCCATCGCTTGTTCCTGCATCGATTCTTCGCCCACCGACTGTCCCTGCATCACCACTGTCTACGAATCACATTCGTACCATCTTTGACGCCTTCTAATTGCATCACCATCACCATTATGAATCACATCACCAATAGAAATTGCGTCCCTTCGCTGTTAGATCGAAGTTCCAATTCCTCTCCTATTTATTTCTTCTTACGCCGGGTTAGGGTTACAAGGGTGGCTGGGGTAGCGGGGGCGATGGTCACAGGTTTGGGTTGGGGGTTGGGCAGCGCTGGGGTGTGGTAGGTTGTGACGGTGGGACGCCGTTGGGGAACTGTGGAGGGGAGTAAAAGAGGGGACCGCGGGTGTGGATTTGGGATCAATGGGATAGGACTGGGGTGCAGGTGAGAGGAGTACGACTGAGGAACTGGAAGGGGGCTGGGATAGGGGACCGTTGGCAGTCAAGGGGTGACGGTTGTGGTGTTGGCGGTGGCGAGGCCACACCCGTGGTGTCCTCATCGACTGGGAAGTGTGGCTCGCCGGAAATAGCTCGCAGGGGATGGGAAGGTTTGGGGACTTGCAAAGACTGTGCATAGACTGGGGAAGGTTGGGGGAATGAACCCTGGGTGCGAGATGATGACATGGTGGTAGGGGCAGAAGCGAACCCAATAAGGGTCCCACGTGTCCCGGGCCCCGTGCGCCACGAAAAAATAGCTACATATATATTATATTCCCTCCGTCCCGTTGGAATGTTCCCGATTTGACATACACACATATTAAGGAAATAAACTTAACAAGAGGTAAATTTTACTGTTTTGACACTGTTTGACACTGTTTCGACGCTGTTTGACATTGTTTTACGTTGTTTGACCCTGTTTTGACGTAGGATAACTTTACATTTAGGGAAATGAGAACTTTCCAACGGGACATCCAAAAAAGGAAAGCGGGAACATTCCAACGGGACAGAGGGAGTATATATTTGATGGAGTATATGGCTCAGGAACCTGCGACCCACATACTTCCACTACTACGAACAGGCCCAACAGGTCCAAGTGAATCAAATGAAACAAACAAGACTACAAGACTGCGGGGACAGCCCATACTACAACGAGGTGTCCTTAGGCCCCATACCTGAAGGCTCCCAGGGTACGTACGACCTCCGACACTCTCCTCGACATGATCTCCTCTCCACATGATCTGAATCACCGCATTAAATGCGGTTTCACGTCTAACTATCGCATTAAATGCAGTGTCACATGTTGTGCCTAGCTGAGTTGACTCTCCACCGCTGGTTACTTGCCACATGTACCCTCACTTATTGCACCTAGCATTTATGGCTACTATAAATAGCAAGCCAATTCTTCATTGTAAGGAATCCAATTCCGGATCTGAAATCAAATATTTGGGAAATTCATTAATACATGTCACTTCTTTCTCTAGCTCTTCCTTCTCTTTAGGAGTTAATACTCCATCAATATTATATAAAATTAATTATTCAATGTATATTTACAAAAAACGACCTTAGAATCAAAAGAACGGAGTAGAGGAACGGGAGCCTCATTAGATTGAAACTTTCTATGTTGCGGGAGGTACCATGTTTGAATCTCCCATGGGTGTTTTTTTTTGTTTTCTAAAACTATTTTAATTAAATAGACCAAAACTAAGTCGTTTTGGCCTATCTTTTTACTTTTACCATTTGACATTCACTTTTGACCCCTTTTCTCTCCCTCTCTTCTTTGCGCTCATTCCTATACCGTAGCACTGTTTCGACATTTTTCTTTCATTCATTGTCATAAGCTTTCAATTTTTGGAGATATCAACTCTCAATTGACATGAAAATTATGAGAAGCAACTTTGTTGAACTATGAATTAAACTACGGGTACTTTTTCCTCCCTACCTTGATTTGAGGTTTGTCCCTTTCTTGTGCATTTAGATTTAAATTTGTTTATATTTTTTCTTTTCGATTTTAAGCATGGAATACATGTTAGAATGTTTACTGTTTGATTACATTATTGTATTGTGATGGACTAGTGATGTTTATAATTTTAATTATAATTCAACTATTCTATCACTTTATGCTCACAAGGTGTTTGATGGAATGCTTCAATGTTTTTTGCATTCTTATCCACGATTTCTTGTGTTCATTTTCCCTTTTTGTTAACATGTTTTTGGGTTTGATGAATTATGATGTTTTTACTTGGACTGTAATTTGTTGGTCTGGTCTGGTCTGAACTGGTCTGGTTTCTTTGTATTTTTATAACTATCCAAGTCTGGTCTTGTCTGGTCTGGGGCGAATTACAGTCCAAGTAAAAACATCCTTATAGACATTGTTTCTATATTTTTTGTGTTCATTCTTCATTTTTTATTTTATGTATGTAATACAGAATATATGTTAATTATAATGTTGGATGCTTATTTATAGATTTGTGATGTTAATTATGTTCTTATAATCTTACTAAATTGTTAAAGCTCATTCTTTAAATTGTTAAACTAATTATGTTTATATGCTTCTTTAATACTCCGTATTTTTTATTAGTTTTATATTAATTAGAGATTAGAGATATAAAAGGGTAGAGATCCCGTGATTCCGACTTTCTGGGTCCGCCACTGGGTAGGGGTAGTAGTGGGATGGTGGTGATCGGCGGTGGCTGGTCACAGTGGCCAGACAACGGCACTGGCAGTCAATGGCGGCAGTTTTCAGTCGGCGGCGGCAGTTTCCGGTGGTCACTAGGCTGGATGGTGTCACTATTGTCGGAGTTGACATGTCCCTGGGACGGTGTCACTGGTGTCACTTCACCTGAAGTCACCGTGTCTGTGACCGGTGGGCAGTCACTGTGGGTGGTGTGGGCAGTCACTGTGGCCGATGGGGATATCACAGTGGTCGGTGGGGAAGTCACTGTGGCCATTGGGCAGCCACTGTGGCGGCGAAGTCACTTTGGCCGGATTCACTTTGCATTGCAAGGTTAATTGTGAAGTTGGTCACATTTTTGTAATTTTTAAAAACATGTCACTTTTTGTCTTTCATCCTATTTTTAGTAATATCCAGACCAAAAGACCAAAGTTTTTCCTTAAATGCCCAGTCCAAAATGTTACGGAGTATTAATTATTCTTTCTATCCCAAAAAATTCTTTTCATTTACTATTTTAGGATGCTCCAAAATATTCTTCACACTTGCTATTTTTTAAAAATTTTGTGTGACTAAGATTCATTTACATTTTTCGTACTCAATCACAACCGTACATTTTCACTTTATCCCACTTTTTAATAAATGTGTCAAATCAAAATTGGAAATATTTTTTGAGATGAAGGGAGTATTAATTGTTACTATAATAATAATAAATAAATAAAGATTGTAGTTAGTGAAGTTTTCATGTTCAAGTCGTGTGTACAAACATTATGATTGCTTGCATGTGCGTATATACCCTCCTTCCATTTCATAGGATTTTCTCAAATTTATCTACAAAAAATATTATTTTCCTTTTAAAGTAAATAATTTATAATTATGTTTATTTATTTTTCGTATGCACTTTTTTTAAATACACAATTTTTATTTTCTTTATTCAATATAATTATTACTACTTTTGTCCCATTAAGATTGTGACAAGAGGGTGTAGTGCAATTTTTAATAAAAGTGGAATCGTGTGGTTGATATTACGTTAAAAAGTGTAAATAAAGTAAGAATGAAACAGACGAAAAAGATAAATCGGGACAAAAATCAGGGGGACGGAGTGAGTATTTGATAATGTTCAATGCGATGGAACTATTATTAATTAATAATTTTATACTCCGTATGTTAATACTTAATAGGTTTAAATATTTTTTTAGTCCCTCCAAATATAGTACATTTTGTTTTACATCTTTGTATTTTTTTCCGTCCCTGCAATTTATGTTGGTTTTCTTATTAGTTCATCACTGATGATAACAACCTTTGTTTGACCTCAAACCAACTTTGATTAATTGATTTCCTCTAATTCTTTGTCTTGTTGTTTAAAAATTATTTAATTTTATTTATTAGAAAGCGTTATATACTTATATATATTTATAATGTGAATACTTAGTTTTACATTGTTTTAATTCTCGTATTAGTCTCAAAAAATCAATAAAAAGACCAATTTAAATATTTCTTGTGGATTTATGTAATTGACAATAATTTTTTTTATAGGTAGAGTAGTTTCGGAATTAGATATGGACTAAGAACAAAATAGTGTATATTACAGAGATGAAAAACAAGAAATATATTCTGCAGTGACTTAAAATATAGTGTGTCATATTTGCAAGGACTAAATACATACCCTGTATTTATGGTTACTTAATACTCTCTCAATACTTTGCCATGTTTGACCGGCACGAAAAATAATATACTCCCTTCATCCTAATTTGATCTGCAAGATTTCCTGTTTTGGTTGTCCCAAAATGATTTTCTACTTTCTATTTTAGGTATGTAAATAAGAATAAAGTGGCAAATTTACCCTTACTTTTACTTTTTCCCCATTAACTTAAAGACATCTACTTTTAGAAAGATGAGCAAAAATGCAAAAAGCAAGCATCATTTATTGTCATTTCTTAATCCTTGTGCCGGTCAAGTTTGCAATTCAATTCGGGACGAAGGGAGTAGTAAAAACTGTGTGATTGAAATATATGTAAAAGAGAGAGAAACAACAAAAACACAAATACATTGATTAAAAAGAAAAGTGACAAAGTTATAAAGTACTTCCAATATTATTCAAATCTAAAATGATTAGTATAATGACATGGACAAAAAGGAATGATGATTGACAAGAATTTGATAAAGATGAGTTGAACCAACAGAGCCTCATCAACTCTGGCAAAAATAGTGTATATTCCAGAATCCCATAGCTATTGGATCCGTCCTTTCCCAAAATAGCAGCCCCGCCAAAATCCTGCCTTGTTTCTCGTGACGACGTGACCAGACCGTCTGTCTCTTCGCCCGTGAGCCGTTTACCATTTCAGCTGGAAAGCTTTTGAGAATTGCAGAAAAACGTCGGCGTCTTGGACATCAAATTTCATAGCTTTTGATTTATTTCTCCTTGCATCATTTTTTCGTGTCGTAATAACCAGTAAGTGCATAAATGCTGTTCGTGCATCTCGGTAGTATAAGGTGACGATTTATACTGTTATCTCTCTTTTAACTTTTTATTACCGTTTTATTTTGTGTTTCTCATTTTAGCACTGCTCATAAATGTATTTTTTATTACGCTTTTTTTTTATTTATTCATAAGCTCACCTCTGAGATTTTGAGCAGTTGAGAGGAGCGGAAAAGGAGGAGAAAGCTAGAATCTTCTTCCGCCATACGCGTCGTCGTAACAGACTTGGCCAAATAGAAATAGACATACATACTGAGTGAGAGACGTAGAAATGGAGGGTAGTAGTGGGAAGAAGATAACGATTGGAGTATGTGTAATGGAAAAGAAGGTGAAATGCGGCCCCGAGGTTCTGTATATTTTTTCTGAATTTATACTCTTTAAAAATATAGCAAGCTCTCTTGCACAACATGCACCGAAATTGTACTGTTTTATATACAGATTTGATCTTGTGTATCATTCAGTGACTTATTGGTGGTTTTTTAAACTGATTTTAGGCGTTTTCCGCACCTATGGGGCAGATTCTAGACAGGTTACAGTCATTTGGTGAATTCGAGGTGCTCATTCTATCTATTTACTACTTTTCTGAGCTTAATTATTCCTATAAAGCAAATGTATTTTAAAAATAATCTTGCTAGCTTTTAGAAAATCAAAATTATACAGTAACAGGTTCCTATATTGCCGTTTTGGAACTTCCTTTTGCTTATTTACTTGAGCTTTCAGTTGTAAGAATGGATTGGTGTTGCTGCTGTAACTTTTGTTTTAAAGCTATACAATACATTCATGATGCTGGCAGGTAGTACATTTTGGAGACAAGGTTATCCTTGAGGATCCAATCGAGCGGTATGGTTTCTATTTGATCTAGTAGAGCTCTCAATAGCTGTTATGATGCTGTTTTGAGTGGCATAGCCAGGGGTGCAAACTAGGCTGGGCTGGTACAAAGAGTTTTTTGGGGACAAATGTAACACAATTTTTTTTAAAGAATTTTTTAATTTGCGGTGGGGCAGGGCATATCATGGCACCCTACCTCCGCCCATGGCTGTTTATGGATGTTTAATTTTGTATATGGGTTCTCCCTTACATGTCCAGACGTGCTGAGTTTGTTAAATATATCTAATATCTAACAAGAGAGTTGTATTCAAAATTCTGTCATTGCTGCTTTACACAAGGCAGCTGGCTCCAAACTTTAATGTATCATTGCTAATCTTATAATTTGTTCACTGTTGCAGCTGGCCAATATGCGACTGCTTGATTGCCTTCTATTCTTCTAGGTATCCTTTAAAGAAGGCTGAGGCATATGCTAAATTGAGAAAGTATGCACTCTTTTTCTCTCCTC